ATCCAGTCCACCACAATTAGGAATATCATTGGTGATAATAAAAAAGCACCCTTGTCTGACTCCTGTGTTTACTCCAAACGCCTCGCTGAGTTTTCCGTTGTGGATCACTTGACATGTGCCGTTGTCGTACAGCTGTTGAATAAGGTTGATGAATATTTGGGGTACGCCATAGTACTCGAGTAATTTCCAAATTACTTCGCTGTCAACGGTGTCGAAGGCCTTCTCAAAGTCTATAAAGTTGAGGTAGAGGTTTGATTGCCATTCCATGCTTTGTTCTGTGATGATGATGCGTAGAGTTGCAAAAATTTGGTCAGTACATGATTTGCCTTTCCTGAATCCAGCTTGTTCTGGTCGGAGTTCTGTCTCCAGTGCGTCCTTTAATCTCTCCAGGATGATGCGACTCAGGATTTTACTTGGCGTCGATAGGAGCATGATTCCTCGCCAGTTCTTGCAGAGTGAGTCCTAAGTCGCCCTTCTTTGGTAGTTTCACGAGGTAACTTTCCTCCAGTCAGTAGGCACCTTTCCCTCCTTCCAGACCTTTTGCAATAATGGAGTCAGCATGTCTGCTGTCGTCTCTGGGTCTGCTTTCAGTGCTTCAGGGGGTATTCCATCTGGTCCGGCTGCTTTTCCAGCTTTCAGAAGCTTGATTGCGTTCAAGACTTCAGCTCTCGTTGGAGGATTGGTGTCAACTTGCAGTTGTGTGCGCGCTGTTGTTGGTATTTCTGGACGGGTTGCAGGTGATGGTCGGTTCAAGAGTCCTTTGAAGTGATCCGCCCATTGTTTAATCTGTTTTTCTTCCTTGGTAATGGGCTTCCCTTGGCTGTCTTTTATAGGTTTCGCTTGTGTTGATCTCTTCCCGGATAGAGATTTGGTTATCTGATATAGTGTCCTCAGGTCCCTTTTGCCTGCTGCCTTCTCAGCTTCAGTGGCGAGGTTGTCGTAGAATCGTCTTTTGTCCTTCCTAGCACTCTTCTTCACTTCTTTGTCCAGTGCTTTGTAAGTTGAGCTCATCGTCTCCTTCTCCTGTCCGTCCTTGCATTGAATCATTTTCTCTTTCACCATTCTCCTCTCTTCTATTAATTTCCAAGTGTCCGTTGAGAGCCATTCCTTGTCTTGTCTCTTCTTTCTTCCTAGAACCGTTGAACACGTTTCGTTGAGAATCGCCTTCAGAGACTTCCAATGTTCTTCCACGCATGATTCTTCAGTGATGTCGCGTAGTGTTTCCTGCTTTGCTCTGACAGTTGCAGTGAAAGTGTCTTTTGTGGTTGTGTCCTTCAGTTTCTGAGTGTTGAACTTGCATTGTGGCCTATCCCCAGCTATCCTCGAGGCTTTTAGTTTCACCTTGAAAGTCCCTTCTACTAGATAGTGGTCTGAACCCACATCTGCTCCTCTCCTTGACCTTGTGTCCAGTAGGCTCCGTCTCCACTTTCTTGAAATTGAGATGAAGTCTATTTGGTTCTTGGTGTTTCCATCTGGTGAAATCCATGTCGTCTTGTGTATATCCTTGTGTTTGAACACACTACCACCAATCACCAAATCATTGAAGGCGCAGAAGTCTGAGAAGAGTTCACCATTGTCGTTCATTTCACCGAGGGCCTCACGACCCATGGTGAGTTCTCTTCCTGTGTTGTCTCCTCCCAGCTTCGCATTCATGTCGCCCATCAGGATTTTGATATCGCCATTTGGGACGTTGTCCATTATTGCTTGTAGTTGTCTGTAGAACGCCTCCTTCTTCTCTTGTTCTGAGACGTTTGTAGGCGCATAGCATTGAATGACTGTAACTTTCCTTCCTTTTGAGTTGAACCTGGCTGTCATTATCCTGGAGGAGATTGGTTCCCACTGCATGAGAGCTTTGGTTGCTGTTGGTGACATCATGATGGCCACTCCCTCGGTGTGCTCATGGTTGTCCTCTGGATGGCCGGAATAGATTACTGTCTCTCCAGTAGGTAGTTGGCACCTTCCAGTTCCGTTCCATCTGCTTTCGCAGATTCCCAACACTTCTATTCTGTACCTTCTCATTTCAGCGGCTATCTGGGCAGCCTTTCCAGTTTCGTACATTGTACGAACATTCCAGGTACCCATCCTTACTTTTGCTTTCATCGAAAGAAGGCACATCGGCTGACTGGCTTCCCGAAGGCTTTCACCAGCCTGCGTCATTTCACTTCCCCGATTCCAGCGAAAAGTAAGGCTATTGCTTATGTTTTTAGAATTTTTAATATATTTATTCGTTGAAGTTTCTGTAGCGATTTGGTTGTTTTACAGGGGTGGAGTTGCTAGCACCACGCCCCAACCCTCCCTCTTTACCCGGGCTTGGGACCGGCGAGAAAACTAGTAAGCTAGTAGCCTAGCAAGCTAGTATCTGGCGAGGTTCGGGAATGTCTTAAGCTTTTTCTAATTCCCAAAACCATTTGATCTTATTATTATACATCCAATTCTTTATTTTGTGTCATTTTAAACAATATTACTTAAAAACTCATCATCATTGTAAAGTTTGTATTTCTTTTATTTTAAAATTATTTCAGTTATGGATTGCATTAAAATTCGGGTGTTTGTTAGTGAAATAAAGTATTACTGAGATGAAATGTAATGATAACAACAACAGGGTATCTACTCGTTGGGAAGGAATTTTGAGTTACGTGATATTCGTCAGTTCATCGTGTAACTCTGTGTTGTACCATCTGGAACAATATCCGAATTTCTGCGATATTTTTTCCTCAATTCAGTTGAGAAGTGCTTTAAATTAAAGCAAACTAAGAGTGTCTGCGAGTTCGTGCAGTGATCCAATAACACAGATGGTTAGAATAAAGAAAAGTGGGGAAGGGTTTTTGCGCAATACCCGCTTGTAGCATGGTGATTTAAGCGGACGACAGAATGAAAAAAACAAATTTGTGGTCACGTTCATTAAATTACCACTAAATGTATGCTACGAACAGTGTTTTGCCAGATAAACGATGCTGGTGTAGACTGTGGTATGTCTGGCAAACAGATAAGTAAGAAGAAAACAGTGTTTTGGTGTTACTGTGTTTTATGGCTTGGTTAGTTTCATTGCGACGCTTTAATTGCCTTGTTTGGCAACATTTTAGGTTCATACTTCATTTTGAAGTAAGCTTTTAAATTTTGCTACTAGTTTATTAATTATCTCCCTCAGTGACCTTGGATGCGATTGGTTTATTTGCGTGTTTTCTCATCCTCCAGTCTACTTGTGTTTGTACTGATTCTTTCGTTGACCTCAGGTTTCACATCTTGTTCATGTAATTTCCTTCTTATTAATGAAAGGCAATGGAAGGCCAGCAGCTAAGACAGTACAACTACAACAGAATCATCCATCTGAACTAATAATCTCTATTGAATCTAAACATTTTTGGTCTTCTCCTCTTCTACTTTATTATTCCTGCTTTCCTTTTATTGGGACCGGTAACCATTCCCTTTTGTATATAAACCCAAAGGTTCTATATCGGATTGAAATTTTCTCAATATCCTTGTTTGTGCAGTTCTGATTAGAAATTTTATTTTATACTATATCGTACAATCCACGACTATTTTGTAACCACATCCCGTAAATGAAATTCGGTTAGCGCTTGCTGCTGAAACATCTTATTTCTGTCTAAGGGAAACTTTTCAGCTGGATCCTTGACGATGCATCTACACTACTTACAAAGCATTTTTAGTTATTACTATTTCCACATTCAGGTACAACCAAAGGGTGGGCCTGGAGTCGCTCCTCAGCGTAAATTCACTCCATCTCGTTCTCTTTTTACATATTACTTTGGTAATGAGCGTTGGTTACTTCATTGTTCTTATCAATTTCTCTGTAACTTAACCTTCTCCGCTATTTATCTGACCTCTACTGACAAGACGAGGACAGATGTTTATGATAGTCCTGAAAGGCTGTAAATGACATTTAGACTTACTATTAGTTTTGAAAGGTTTTTTAAACATAAAATACGGCTAGTGTGAAGTATTTATCATGTTTACACTAAATTTAATTATACCTTACAATTTTGTGTTCTACGCGTAATGGAGGGCGTCTGAATTGAAGCAAAACATGTTTTCAGAAGAAATTTGCATAGTAATTATCATGGTCTTGCCTACGTCTCTTCGAGTAAATTTACTGAAAAACGTCGTCTGTCTCTTACCTTTCTCATTGACCTGTCTAATTTATCTTTAAATATCCTTATGTGATCTATTTTCCATAACTTTGTTATAAATTTATTCTCTTTGTTTTCAATGTATGAGTGACTAATTTTATACTGTTCGTTTCAATTTTTATCAATATATTGCACTAATTTTCTTCACTGAGTGTCCACTATGACATGTTAAGAAGCCAATCACCACCAGATTGATAAATTACGAGCTGTTTGTTTTATTCCTTTACTTTACTAGTGGAACATGGGCTACAGGCAAGAGCTTCAAAGTTTCGATAGCTGTAGTGTTTAGTTTTACGGAGTGGGGTTGCCCAACCTTCCTTCTTCACTTGACCTGTTATTGGTTTAGCAAAATAAAGTAGGACGTCGGCCAGGGACCGAACTCACGACCGCATGCGTGGTTGGCGGGCATTCTACCGCCTAGCTACTGACGCACGATAAATTACATGTCGTAACAAAAGTGTTTTGGGTGTATCAGAGCAAAGCTACTTACGAGGAAAATAAGTAATCCTTCGACCAATTCATTGTCATCGAAACCCTTTAATTGCCCTATCAACATTATATCTTATACTGGTTTATATGCAAAAGTAGTATCTGTAAAAGTCGAAGACCTTATCTTCATTAACCCACTTGTATTCAAAAGTGAACAGCATTCAGTGTGTTATATTAGACAACATACTTCTGACAATTAATTGGTATCTCATGCTTCTGAAATATGTTACATGGTACTATATTTTCCAAGCTTCTTCTGGATACACATGCATGTTTAAAATTTCACTCCTATTTGTCAGTGCATTCAATATTTCAGCATGCTTCATTTATTTACAGTGTTATTTTTTCTTTCTTTTGAAACAGACGGCTTAGATGTACACGAAATAATTTACACTTGAACTTGTTCAGTGCAATATTACTGCGTTGTGTATTACATTTTATAAAGCATGCAGCAGATGGTCAAGATGTGAGTATTTAATTTTGTTGCTCAAGTAGATGTGTTATACAGTACCACTTAACTTTAGGCACGATTATTGATAAAATTAATCTTCAATTTTGAATGTATTTTTTAATTATTTTTTAACTCGCATATACTTATGAAAGCCTTTGTAACGATTACTGCGTGAAGTGATACACCACTGTTTGATTGACTGATTGAGATGAGTAGTTGTCTACTACTCACATCAACCATTGGTGCTTGCTAACCGAATCGCAGTGATCTAAACACTTGACGGCTGTTTCAAGCGTTTTGATCTAGGTTAACTAGTGCTATATCTGGTTTGATACAGCTCAGAAAGCCGAGTCATTTGAAACAAACTGATTTCATAAGCGTTTCCCTATTATTTCATCATCTTTAAGATTTTTTTAAACAATTAGTCGTTTTACTGACGTCTAAATTAGCTTGTTAAACTAAACAGCAGCAAACAAAATGAAACTTATAAATACCATTTCTTTGACTATATACCTTCAACAGTAACATTATGGTAATAAAATTTTCAATTGCAAATAAATATTTGTAAATCAGTTTAACTTTCACTAGTAACTGACAACCGGATGGCAGCTCTGCTGTTCAAATGAAGATTAGTGACGAGTGCAGGGGGCAGTTGAGGTAAACACTGGATATCAGTCAACTGTTCTCAGTAACGATTAGTCAGGAGGTATATTTCTATCCTGATTTGCAAGCACGGCAGTCGAAAGAATGTAAGAGTTCTGTTAGCTGAATTCAAACTTCCTATCACTATTTAGTTGACTTTTTGCTTAAAAATCCTTTAAATTAAGGCAATTACTGAAGTGAGGGTCTAATTTTAGAAGGCAGGAAACACAAGCAAAAATGTAACTACATTGCTATTCAGTTCAACCTCATTTCCTCCAGTTCCTAAAATGACATCGATCCGCGATGAAACGTGAAATAAACCATATACCTAAAAACTAGCTCTTGAAAATAAAACATAACTTTTGCCGTTCAATACTGATGGAAAAATAATTCAGTTAGTTTCAGGTAAAACAAAGACAGATCACCAAGATCAATTTGATCCTAATATGTCAATGAAATCTTTAATTTAAAGAATAACAGATTTTCCATCCAGGTCGGCTAATACAAATTTCTTGATATATCGTATCATCGATGGGCAGGAAATATGATTGACGATTCAAGAGGATTTCATTAAAGATTTATCGAATTTTCCATTTAAGGACTAGCTCTAATAAAATGCTGAGTGATACTATGACTCCATACTATGAAGTTTATTCGTTCCATACTAATAAGGAATCCTTATTTCCAATCAAATGTGTTTAATTCCAAATAATGGACAATTTTGCTTCACTTGGTTTCACTCCATAAAAAGAAGGTATTCGATCTAATATTGAGAATCAAAAGTAGCAGAAGTTCGGAATAACCGTCTAAAATGATGCAATCACTATTCTTAAGATGTACTACCTTGAGTGTTAGTAGCTTCAAACCTGAAGTCATCTACGGTAATTTCCTGTAATCATGTCTCATTAAAGTAAGTATCGGTATACTGGTGTTCCGCTGAAGTAAACTATTTCGTCTATGTACTGTGTATCTTTATAGTATATCAGAAAGCCACCTAATTAAATCGCAAAAATGCAGAGGTTGTTAAATTTCCTTCATATATATGGGATGGGAAGATACGAATTTTTCATTACTACACATAATCACTTATATGTGAATTATACCTTTCACATAAGATGCACTGTGAAACAAAATGATTCTAGAAACTGCTATCAGATTTCAACCATATATTCTATCTCTCAATTTTAGATTGTCTGCAAAATATTTACCACACTCCATGTTTTCACAGTGCAAGCAACTTATACCTGGGTCCTTATGGAAGCCCTTTATCTACATAATAGTGTTCTAGTTCATGTAATGCATGAAAGTAGAACATCATTTGCTGTCTACGCATCTATTGGATGGAGTAAGTTGATAACACTGAGATACACTTCAACCGGTTTTTTTACATTTACATTAATTATACTTCAAACACAAACGGCTGCGCTTACAAATATGAATGGTAATTGTTTATGATTTTTTCCATGGTGGTTTTAAAGCTCATCAAAGTCCAATTAAGCATAACAGTCATGCAATAAAATGATGACCCACTTAGAAGTTGGGTGTTGTAATTCGGCAGTTAGGGCGTCAGAATAGTTATTTGGAGGTCATTAGTGAGAATTCTGCAGCCCTCCAGATTTTAATCTCACCTTAGTTCATCACACACTACATGGATAATAGTTTGCCAACAAAAGACCATACCAGATAGTCTAAATATAACGATCAGATGGTTTGAATGCGGCGAACCGATCTGCAGGTCTTACCTCATGGCTGAGACATACACAGTCAAGGAAAGCTCTAAAAATGCCAAAAAGACGACTGTTTATGGTTGGAATCAGTGTGAGGTTATAAATTCAAAGTTACCCCAACACTAATGGTAAGCAGGTATACAGGTTAGATGATTGTCCATTTCAAAACAATTAATGTAGAACAAAATTAGTTGACCAAAACTGCAGTCAGTACGCGAGAAAAAAGTGGAATATTCTTGACAAGATGGGATTAAAACTGTGTCCACAAGAATCACACCAACAACTGCCGCAGAACATCCAGGATCCCTGAAGCAAAATTAAATCGTAAAACAACACATCATCAGTGTATAGCACAACCACGGAGAGGAGCCTTAAAGTTAGAGAATAAGGAGGAATAAAGACAAATAATAATGATAAAATCAACACACAATATGAAAATGTCAGAGGAATGATTTACAGTTCGGGAGAAGAATGGACAGTAATTAAAAAAAAGTGGTTGAAACATCCAAATTAGAAAAAAGTATTATGATTAGATAGTTGAAGAAAAATTTCAAAAATTATTCCGTTACACATATCATCGGTCGATGGCTGTAATAATCCCAGCATCAACAAACCAAGAATTTTTAACTCAAGTTCACAATATTCAACACATTTATGGATAAGCAGAGTGTTACCGTAGATATATTTTAATAACAATAATAGAGCCTTATCTGACACGATATGTGAGCACATAGTACAGAAATTTTCAGCGTAATTAGTTCAAAAATATTTCCTCTATATCCGGGATCTATTTGAAGTATATTACGTGACGTAGTGTCGTTCTATATGAGGAGAGAACAGATTTCTCTGGTGTTTTTTCCTTCATTTCTTTCAAGAATTGCATGTCGTTTATTTGGAAGCCAATTAAGTATGCGCGCGAGTACATTTCGTGATCATATAATATAACTGCCCAACTAAAAACAAGAAATGCAAAATAATTTAGGCATTCTGGTAGACAAAAATTCTGATGGCCCAGTGATTTAGACAAGCGGCTGGATCCTGCGTTTTGGATGATGAAACAATCATTGGTAGTGTTGGCCTTTATTTATGACTTATACAGTTGTTCGAGTAGGAGAAATTTAATCTGATAGTAACTGATGTTAAAGCATTCTTCACACTACTTCGAAATTTATTAGTTTTCTTGAACTTTTTGTTGCAGCTCTTCCAACTTTAGTCGTTATCACATGGATATTGCTAAGATTATATGTTACAACAGGCGATCAGTGTTGGGATTTGGACAGTGATCCAGGCAGCCCTAGTAGAATACTTTTAATCGTATATCCAAATATTATCATGTTGGTAAGTCTATTTTAGACAATTTTAGATATTCAGTTAATTTCAAAGTTTCATCAGCTGTAATATATGAAAGTCCATTTTTAATGAGAAAGTTCGACACTCTTTAAAAGGCAAATAGCAGTAGGAAATGAATGATGCAAAGAAATACTTGGTTTTTTGTTATATCCCAGGCAATAACTAATAGTGGTTGGTATTATTTTTTCATTCTTTGTGTACCTGGGGAACAAAGGATTTGAGAGAAACGGAAGCTAAAGACTTGTGAGAGTAAACAGCTAGAGTTTGCAAAAGGCATGTATAATTAGGTATATAAAAATTAATATATTGAAAAGTTAGAAACAGTCATCAGGAAGACCTAGCCATAGGTTTCTTGTTTGGTGACACCCGTCAACAATGCAATCACTGTAATCTTGACGTCCCTGACCCCAAAAGGTACTGGTTGCAGAGACAGACAATACAAATTTTGACCTGGTTTAGGTGAAATTGTTAATCGCTCACGATGATTTTGTGATAGGACACTGCGATAGTGAATATAAATTGTGCAATTAGTCACTGTAATATTGGCAACATTATTAGTGATTCAATCAATAACGAAGATGAAAACCTGGAGCTTTCTGTGATAACGAAATAATGAAATGCAACACGACTAAAGAAACAAATGTTCAGGCATCAGTAGTCCCTAAAGGCTACGATATACAAATAGTCCGACTAGACATTGCTAGACTGTAGGGAAATGAATAAACTACAGTTTGATAAAGATGTGTGGAGATTAAAGAATGTTAAAAGAAGGATGGAAAGTATAAGTAACGGGTGGTGGTGACGTCATCCGTTGGTTAGGTCTTAATAGGCCATGCATAGTTTTTACGTAACACTTCGAACGGATGCCGCTTTAGCTATATGCAGCAGACGAACATGAAATGCATTGAAAAGATTCGGAGACATGCTCTGGATCACTTCGAATGCTTTCGTTCTCTGCACTGACTGATCACCATCAATTTAGTCTAAGAAAATGGAGATAAGGTTGTTTTTTGTCTGCCTTTTGCTAAACCACTATGGGAGATTTTCAATAACAACTTGTCTTAGTTGTCTGGTAGAACGTATTACCTTAGGAGCAGTTAAATTCGTAAGTACACACAGATGTGGCGAAATCATCAAGAGAAAGACCCTTGTTGTATACTTCTGGAAAATGTCTGTAACAAAATCTCATTGAAAAATCACCATTACCTCTTCCACTCTGTCACCTTATATCAAGTATTTTCATTTGTTTCCCTACGAGGTTAATCTGATAGTTCATTTCTGTCAAGGAATCATGTATATATTCAAATCCTTTTCTTTGGTAATCATCCGTAAACACCTTGCTTGCGCCGCTCGTACGACTCGTAACAAAATTTCTGTTATATTTAGTGGGTACGTAACTAAGGAAGAGTGTGTACCGCTCTGTGAATGCGTTGTTTCGATGCACACTCACCAAACTGATCTACATTCGCTCCTTTCTGGTGAGATATTCAGAAGATGCAGTTTATCTTCAAGGGAGAAAGTATGCGAATGGTGGATGTTATTAAATTTCATGAACACTTGGTCCGTGTTCACCTGTTGACTGACTATGGTGAATCTATCATTGATATTGCGGTTATAAATATCCAGCTGATCGATGACGTATTTAATCTCCTGCTGTTGATGTTTGCAAGCAATGAGTAGGCTGAGATCAATCATGAAACCACCGTGGTTTTATCTACTTGTCAGTAGCATGAACGACTAAAGACAAAATTAACATTCTTTGTACATTTAAGGAGTAGTTGTTTTAGGCTGAATAAGAGGATTGATAAGTCAATTTGCCTTCAGATGAATTCTTGACATATGCAATCTACTGTTTCGGCAAGTGGTAAATTCGTAAATAGTGATGATATATCCATTGATGAGATAAGTTTATTACTAAAATTAGTCTAGGTATTCTAGAAATGAAGTCAAAGACATCACTAATTCCTTAAGGCTCAATGTTTTCCTACAAAAGTCCCATAATCTTTATGAAATGGTGGGCTATATATTTCTGGAACTGGACGAGGCTTGTGCAGTTTGAGTAGGTCGTGAAGACGTGAAGTTTTGGTCCACGTTGGTTTCATCAATTCATTCATGGCAGGCGATAAGATTTCTGTTGATTCAGTTTTTTAAGAGGATCTCATGCTAAGTTTTCTGCTTCCCCATTTCAATCTTTGAAAGCATTTCCCTTGCAGTCCAGCAATACGTAATCGTTTTAGATGCCTTTTTTAGTTTCAATCGACTATATCTAACTAAACAGTTGTTTCTCTAATCGTGTTGTTTTCCATTATTCTTGTTATCACAGATCATTCCATGTTTACATCTTCGTATTGATGGGACTATTACTACTTTTTTATTATAGTTTGACCCCACACAGTATTTTTGATAAAAGTATGAAATTTTTAGCTTATGATATTGGTAGCCTAAATTTAGCATGCCGAACACTGATATCAGGTGTGCATCGTCTGGGGATCGAATCCCGGAATAAGTGTATTGTCGGCGAACGTTCTAACCGCTGTGGCACTGACACGTATTATCAGTGTTATTATAGTGACTAATTGCAAAATTTATATGCACAATCTTACCATCATACTGACAGAATACTGTGACTTTTTTGTATCTTATATTCGTTTTTAAAGTTATGTTTATTAGAGTTAGGCCTGATGAGATGTAAATGAAAGCAATACTGTTCGTTCAAATGTGTTGTTATAAATTTGATCATGGGTATATTTAATATTTGTTCACATGACTGTGATTAATAATTGCATCGTGTATTTCTAACAAGATCGCTAATAAATACTTTAAGATTTTCTTTTTTAAGTAATAGTAAAATTTCCACAACGGCAAACGGACATGATGTACACAGTATGTCCTATCCAGATTGTCCAAATAATTTTGATTAATGACAACCATATATTCCTTATTTCGACATCGATTAGTTGACAAATCAGACAAGCTTTTTTAACTGGTACTGTTAAATATTCTCATCAGACTAATTACAGCATAATATCTTACACAAATTATTCATCTTCATTGAGTGAGTGTTTGATAATTCATGTTCACTTAAAATAGGCTAATAATCTCGTTTCATGCAAAACAAGATGTCATAGGAGAGTAGAATCAACAGTTAATGAGATCATACTCACGGTGAAGTGGTGAGAATTAATAAATACATCGCTTACACTCTTGATGTCTGAACTAGTTCTAATCCAATTGTGACAGTAACTAAGAATATCAGAGTAACAGTTACCCTATCCTCCGTTATATCTAACACACCTATGTATCTGAAGAAGGTAGCGTTCGATGAATATTTAACAATTCTATTTACGTGATGAAAGCTTTCAAAATTACAAAACTCTGAGGCACAAAAAATTACTAAATGAATCTATCTCAAACGACCTTGTAGGTGACTAATCTTGTAAGCAGCATTGTTATTGATACTGACAATATTATTTTCATTTTCAGTTGCTTGGGCAATAACTTACTGTTTCAGTGATAGAGAACAAAAACTAGGTAATACCAAGGGAAATCTAAGACAGAAAGTGAGACATATAAGAGAAGCCTTGAAACTTAATAATTACCCTGATGAGTTAGTCAGAAAGTATGTTGGGAAATGTAAAAGTAAAATAAATAATGATAATAGTGATAGTGATAATGACAATAACAACAATAGTAATAATAATATTAATGAAGACATGTATGTCAAACATGCGCACGACAACACCAACAATAAGGAATCTAAATCGTTAGTAGTAATTCCATACAAGGAAGGAACCTCGGAAACCTTACGCAGAATTCTTAACAAAGCGGGCAGTAATAAAAGTGGCTGGCATTCAAACCACCCACAAACTCAATTAGAAGCAAATTTTGTTGGTTAAAGGATCCTGTGAGGCTTTTAAAACAAAACAATTTAGTTTATCTAATACCCTGCCTAGAATGATTGTCAAGTCAAATACATAGGTCAAACCAGTGGAACAGGGGCGGTCAGACTAACCGAATATAAAACCTTAGCAAAATCTAGATTAGTTGACCCAAATAAGATAAGAAATCTAGAGAATAGTTCAGCCATAGCACTACATGCAGTTACACACAACCATACAATAGGATGGGATAGGATGACAGTTTTAAATTCTAATGTCACAGGGTGTAGAGAGCGATTGATAAGTGAAGATATGTTTATCGAATCAACTGCAAGTACGTGTAATAGGAACGATTCAACACCTGTCCCAGATATCTGGAAAATTCTACTACCCCTACGACAAATAGGAGAAAACAAAGAAAACTGTAAAACTCAAGTTCCGAAGTCGTGTGACAAAAATTGATATGATTATGAAAAATAAATTTTGTTCGAAACGTCATCCAGTAAATAATACTGTTTCACTGTGTGATACATCTAATAAACAAACTAACACAGAATGGTGTTAAATATATTTTGAAATGATCTTAACAAACACTACGTTAATCAATGCGCTTATCAGTTTGTCAACCAATGAGAGAACAGTCTTCATAAAGGGCTGGAAACAGTAAAGGCGTAAAGAGTTTAGGAAAGTAGAAAATGTGAGTTATTTTAGCACAACACATTTAAGCGAACAATATTGTTTTCAATTAGACCTCACCAGGCTTAACTCTAATATTTATGAGTTTACAAATAAAAATTCAAATATAAACCAATCATGGTGTTTTGTCTATAGGATAATACGATGGTGAATATAAATTGTGCAATTAGTCATATTAGTAGTAATGATAATATTAGTAATAATGGTCTTATCAATAATAAGGATGAAAAAGAGAGGCAATCTATGATAACACGAATAATGAAAAACAGTATGATTAAACAAACAATTGTTCAGGTAGGCGTAGTAGTCGATAAAGGCTAGTAAAAACAAATGAACCGATTAAGTAATGTTAGATTGTAAGGGAAGGAAATGAAACACGTTTATAATGAAGATAAGATTAAGGGATAATAAGAGAGGGGTTGAAAATATAAATAAGGGGTGGTGTAGAAGTCTGCAGTTGGTTATGTCTTAATAGGCCACGGGAGGGATAATGGCTGTACGAACGTTTTTTGAATGCATAGTTTAGGTTTAATGGTTGTTCGAATGCCTATCGCCTCAGCTTTGTGCAGTAGACGAATGCGAAGTCTATTAGAAAGATTCGGTGGGATACGGTGAATTACTTTGAAGGCTTTCGTCCTCTCCACTATATGACCACTATCAATTAAATGTGACAGAATTGAGCTTTGGATTGTTTTTGTTTGTCCTTTGCCAAACCACGATGGTAGATGTTCACTAACACGTTGGCTAAGCTGTCTAGTAGTACGCCCAACATAACTGTCACCGCAGTTGCAGTGGAATTCATAAATGCACATAGATGTGACAAAACTATCAAGCTTATCCTTCGTTTGCGTCCCAATCATTTGTCGGTTAGAGAATGATAAACATAGGTGTGCTGCGTAAAATGTTCTACGCATACTCCTTGAAAGTCTTTGGAATAGAATCTCACTAGATAAGTCACCATTAAATTGTAACTTAATAAATAGAGGTTTCTTATGTGCAGTCAGAGTCACAGGTTTTTTCTCTGATGTTTTCATACGTTTCTTTATTAAACTACTCGGATAGCCCATCTCCGTCAAGGAATCGTGAATATATTCAAATTCATTTTGTAAGAGGTTATCCGTACATATCTTCCTTGTTCTGCTCGCGAGACATTTTACAACATTCCTTTTATATTTAACGGGCACGTAACTAAGGAAGTGTGTGTATTGCCTTGTGAATGTGCTTTTTCTGTACACACTTCTTCCAAGTGACCTATCTTCTCTCCTACTTAGCAAGACATCTAGGAAATGTAGTTTATTCTCCTGCTCCTCTTCACAAGTAAAGGTAAGCGAAGGGTGGACGTTGTTGAATTTCAGCAACAATTCGTCTATTTTAACATTCTCATCAGCTAAGATAAATGTATCATAGACATATCGGTAATACATATCCAACTCCTTGATGATGTCCTTCAATTTCCTGTTTTCAAGTTTTGCGTCGTAGGCGGATATCATCGGAGAACTATTCAAAAGTGCACGGAATAAAACAATGTTTTACTTCTTTATTAGAAGACTATAACGTTGAACTTTTAATAAAGTGTCCGTAATTCTTCAAAACAGCCATTAAGTGACCACTTTCAATTCCAAAAATTACACTTCTGTTGATAGATAATACTTTCTAAGTGATCCAATTCTAATTTCATCTTGGATTTCAATTAAAATTTATTTTCACCTCGTGGATGTAAGGACGGTTGGGAAATTTTTAGCTATGAATTTCCTCATTGTCACTAAGAGTATATGATTAGTGTTTGTTTCTTTTTCAGTACTCTTAATCTGATAATGAAGAATGACAGTTTAATCAAAAGTTTTATCAAGACTTTGCAATGTCAAACTGCATAAATCTGACTGTTTAAAGCATATTTTTCACTAATAAAATTTTCCTTTTCTTGGCCATTCACTTATTACATGGAGGATTACTTCACAGACAAAAACTTTTCTAAACAGGATGCATAATCTCACTTTATTTGACAAGGTCACTTGAAACCATGCCTCGAATATGGCTTCAAACGTCGGCGTATTTTAGTATTCCATGGATTAAGCAGATTGTTTTATAATTACATCTATTGACTACAATTCTTCGAAACCGATTTATACATGAGATGCATAATTCTTACTTTGATAATGTAGTCGGATAGATGAAGTTATCAGTTCTTAGTAAAAATGAATGATAAAACCAAAAGAAGATTCCCAAACAATGATGAAGCAGGTGTTCAGTACTCTCAGGTTCCCCAACGGTTCTCTAACTGATATCAGCTCATGGTGAAATCCTCCTCTAACCAGCCAAACAAAATTTTTACAAAACCAATACTTGAAAATCAAAACAACTTGTGTGTAATTTTACTACGTGGGATTTTTAAGCTGTTATCAGAAATACATTATCTATCTCTAAAAGTTCGGAAAATAAAAATAATTCAGTTACTGTTTTCTTTTCTTTTTATTTAAATGCAGTTCAATTTGGCTTTTTTTGTCAATTTGTTGCGAGTGATATTCAACAAGACTCAATCTCAACCGATGAGTGAATCAAAACGCCTAAGGTATATAATTCTGTTTGATGTATGAATTAAAATGCTTTTATGTATACCTTGTGGTCATTTCAATTAAATTAATACTGTTTAGTTTGTGGTGGGAGACGGTGGAATATAAGAGGTGTTCTTCATTTTATTTGAGACTTTCAATGAGTGATAGGATTCTCAGTAGTACTTGAATTCAACTTAAAGTGATGTTTAAGAGAGTTGATCACTTTCACTGCATCAATACTATACAAGTTACTGATGAATAAAGGACTTACTGCGTTCTTTTGGAGGCAGAAACCATCTAACTAATATATTACCCGTGAATTCAGTTTGAGAGATGAAATACAACAAACAAAAACGAATAAAAACTGAGTTTTACGCCTTAAATTCAACTGTTTGTTCACAAAATTCTATTTCAGACAATGAAGTTATTATCTACCTTCAAATACTTTATAATATATCTGTCATTTCATATGTTTGATATATCGTTGAACGAAAAATATATAACTTAAAAGTGATAAGTGATCACGAATAATATTCACTATCAAAAGTGTCTCAAAAAGTATACTGAAAATTGTATAACTATGACTAACACGCTATTCAGTTTATGATATATAATAATAATTCATAATAAACTAACTCACACGGAAACTAGTTACATTGACTAGTGATCAAGTGATGCCATTTCACGCATTATTTTCTATTGCCAAAATAATTCGTGCTACTTATACTGTATTTTACTGTTCGATATCACTAAGGCTGCATTGATACTAATTCTTCTTATATTTAATCGATTTGCAGTTGCATCTTAAGCATTTTCAGTTCCCTGACTAGAAAGGTGACATAATGATTCGTGATATCACTCAAGATAGAACGGTTACTGAACAACTGCTAGCTGTTCCACAGCTATCTGAGCTTTTTTCAACAGATATCAATTATCCATTATATTGAGTCAGTCACATTCTTGATAATTTGCTAACCAGTTAAAGAGCAATCTAAACACCATTATTATAGTTATAATAGTCTTACTTTTGGGTAAAGAAAAACGGATACGAACAGTTGACCAGTTCTTTAATAAAACAGATTAGGAAGAGGCGAAATCTCGTTTGTAAATATTTCTATTTTATCATCCGTACTCTATTATTTATATGAATTCTAACTTCTGCCAATCTGTTTTAGTTAGACACGTTTCACGAAATAATTATCTGTGATCTATGCTTTCAGTATCATATTACGGTGGTGTGATAAAGATAATGTGTCCCACCGAAATATTATTCTTACATATTCCCACGGTTCGGTACTGCGTTATCAGAAGAATACTACATAAATTTGAACATTCTATTTCATGTTGTTTAATGTAAACAAGACTCACACGCTCAATGGTTGGTTAGAGAATATAAAACAGTATAGATATAAATAGCTATTTGATCACTTGAAAATATACCTTAGCTTCCATGTCTTGCCTTCTGCTGTAAAAATATATATACAAGTCTCTCGTAGTCATTTGCATTGATATTTTGGTGGATAAATGATAAAAACGACTTGAAGTAGTATGTGAACTGTAACTGTCTCCTTCTCTTTAACTTTTAGAACATTACTCAAATCGACGTCTGTATTGGTCCTGGTTTTTGGCTTATACCAATTATTTTTATTACCATTAAATTTCATGCGTATTAATCCAGATTCTAATGGATCTAGCTTACTAGAAATTATTAAACTATACTATGAGCAAATAATGGAAGCCTTTCAGGTAAGAGGATATTTCATAGTGATTTGTATAAAACAGTACGATATTTTAGCCAGTAATTTCACCAATCCCGAGTGATGAATAGAGAATTAGACATGTATGAAAATAATGTTTGTATATGGCTCATCAGTGCATGCGTAGATAATGCTAGCCTTCGATTAGGCGAACTGATTAAATCTTGTTACATTTTTGAAGACGTTTGGAGCCAGTGGAGTATTTGTTTTGAACCTAAACTATTCCAAGGACTGATTCGCAACAGTTTGAGGGATTAAAAAAGGGACACCTTTGGGGGAGAACACATACAGCTTTAGCTTATTTTGACTTTCGACGTTTCGTAATTACTACCAGAGTTATTAGTCAATCTTTAACATTATATTCCAAATTGTTTACTTAATTTTCTAGTTGTTTTAATTAGAGCTAAGATTCTATAAAAGTAGCACCGATTTCTGAAGCGAAATCTCTTATTCATTCAGGTGAAAATGATTAGGTTAACACAGCAATGAAAGCCCGACATTATTGAAAAAGGAACGTGATCGTTAGCATATGCTGTTGGGCAGAATAGGATTGATGAAGAATGATTACTGCCTCTCGACTTAGTAAATAAAAGATAAGCTGCTCTCTTTGCCATCTAACTGCTCAGATGACAAACTCGTTAACTGGATTTGTAGGCATGCTGTCCATCATTAAAAATCAGCAACAAAACATGCATTCATCGTTCAATGATGATTAATTCTTTGTTGGTGTATGTTGTTAGTTACACGACTTAATTTTTGTGCTGTTTGGTTTCTGAGCTCCTAAACACAAGCATCAATTCTGCTTCACTGAATTGAGGCAGTCTTTATGGATTCTCTGTTCCATCTAGTTTTGATTTTATAGCATCACGCGGCTGTCGACTGATTACTATACGCATTAAACCATTAATAAACATTGCGACGTTCAAAGAACCCGAGAGATTAAAACCTAAATGGTTGAACTTCAAATACTTGTAATTATTCAAAGATTTAACGAAGTGGATCAGAATGAGCCATAAATGATTCAGAGAGAGGTATTTCTTGTATGATATATACTGCACTTGAAGTAGTCGTAGCATAAAATCCATTAAAATTGTTATGATTTGTAATTACTAGTTAAACCAGGAAAATATTTGTTCTTGTTTCCTTATGTTTGTTATAAGAACTGAAATGTGAACAGGCCATTTCAAGCATTAGTAAGGCATACAAATGCTGATATCCGACACTACACTAATTTCATTTAGTTATCCTTACTGAGTATGTCCAAGTACTCCAATGCTCATAAACCATACAGATAGGTCTGATGTCGACTCTTGGCAGACGCACTCTCAAGTCGCTCTTAGCCAGCCATTTGTTGGAAGAAATCGGAAGATTGGGAGTGAGACTGGTGATCCCACTCCACGAAAAACACCACTGATAGTGTTGTGGTGAGGCCTGGCTGGTAGTCAAATTGGTAGACAGTAATTTACGTCAATGTTTACGTCCCAAATATCGGTCGTGAGAAAAATGAGAACAAAGACTGATTCAACAACCAACCACAGCAGACTCTGCTTGGCGGATACATTTAACATATAGATGATCTGACATTCAAGAAACAGCCACAAAGGGATAAAAGATTAACTTTCAGTGTAAAACAACCAGTCAGAAGACTGTGTTTTTCTGCTTACAACAATCTATAATAATAAACATGAAAATATATAAATATATGTTGATTTCCTTAATAAACGATCTGTTGTCTGGCCCTTGTCTTCTGTTGTTACAGTGTAACTTCAAAGGTCAAAAAGTAAGCACAAAGGTAGAATATTTGCCAACCACGCCACCCGCAGTTCGGGTTTGATCTCTGGCAGACAAACTTCTTTGCCTCGCTAAGCCAGTGTTTAGAATGGTAAAGAGAGAAGGTTGGGCATGAGGCTAGCAGCCCCATTCCGTAAAAATAAACACCATTGACACTGAAACTTCAAGGCTCTAGCTTGAAGCCCTATGTTCTACTGGGAACATAAAGGAATAAAATTGAAAACAAATGACAGTTATATCTCCATGTCCTTGACTAAGTAACTCAGCTATGTGTCACAGAAATTACAGTTTTTTGTATAATTCAAGCGGCTCTTGTTAGTTGAAGTTTAGCCACTCACATGTATACATTCTCCAATAACGAATACTTTATCAATTTTTCTTTATTTGCAAAAATGTATATATGTCACAGACTAGAAGCTAGGAATTGAGTTCTTACAAATGTATTGAATAACACCATAATTTCTATTAGTATAGTTAGTGGTTCATTAATTTAATAATATTCATCTCATTTCTTTTTGAAGGGTTCATTTGTTGCAATTGTCCTTTGCTTCATAAATAAAGAGGTAGGTGAAAAGAAAGCTGTCATAATACAAAGACAATTTTGTTTTCAATTAACAAATTAACTATTTTTCATTAACAGTAGTATATACTATTGACCGAAAATGGAAATTTAAGTGAATTAAATCCCCTTTTTATGGCAATTTTTTTATTTTTGTGATTGTACACTCATATTGATTTGTAGATTGAGATAGGTAATTGATAAGTCTGCCTGTTTGAATAAATGTGACAAAAGGGGAAATACAGAAGTCACCAAACTGATGAATGGATCGAAAAAATTTACAGAGTGAATGTGAAGGACTAGACTAGTGTTGTTTTGATTGACACTGGCTAATATTGGAATGCCAGACGCGTGTTCTACCTAATCTGATTCACATTGGCTAGATATATTCGCAACTTCATTGACGTATGACAATCAAACATAGCCTCCAACGTTTCAAACTTCAAAGCTCTATCCAGTGAGCTATTGAATAATGATAGCTACCCCAGTTATCTGCTGAAGAAACTCGTTTGTAACGCCTAATATTAGTTGGCATAGCGGTTACGAATAAGGATGTTTCGAAAATGTCTCGAAGTGAACATGATATCATTTTAGTGTGATATGTGAAACGATGCTTTCTGAATTTGTGTATCCTATGGGTGATCTTCACTAACTGGAATACTGGAACAACCAGCTAACATTTCATAAATAGAATGAAGCACGCGTCCCAGATTTTGGTGTTGGTCACCGAAAACGGAAATGGCGATTTTAGCCTTGAGGCACTTTGGTAGCATCTGTACAGGCAACCAGTAGTGATTTTTTATAGTAGAAAATACATCTCTTCATAACTCTATTCTGCAACACTTGATCGACTCTGGACAACGAGGCAGTACACAAACCAACTCTAGAGCCATCTACAGAGTACTCTGAAATTTCGCCAAAGGAGTGTAATTCAAACTTCCTCAAACCGCAGAAGTGAGGGCAATCCAGCTGTTAAATCCCTAACTCTGCATGCAGAATTAGTCTGTTCGGTCACTGAAACTGCTATGATTTGTCTTAACACTGCGTACCTAAGTTTTGATAATGCTTTTTAGTTTCTTGATTATATTATTTTTATCTCCCTCTGGATCACTAAGTTTCTTTCTTATGACACTGATCCTGACTGTCAGCTGTGGAACGAATACCAGCTCTTCTTGCCTTCATCCATATACTGTTCATATAGAGATATTATAACTTCATTAAGTTCGAGCTTAACAGTGGTAATAAAAAATGTAAATTTAGAACATGTTGTTTGTTATGATTACTCAGTGTCTGATGCGTCATTCATTATTATTGGCATTTGTTGTTGCAATCCACCAATATATGACGGATCGAATAACAGAAAAGTAGAGCAATTCATAATATGAGGTCCGAACTCGTAGATTGACATATGAATCCTAATTAAATAGTTTATCCTAAATAGCATGAATTTTTCCAATTTACTTTATTTTCACTTTGCTTGCTATCATAATATAACGACTTTATTTTCAAATGACAGAAGTGTACTCTGTGTGTCTCCTGTCTTTATACATCTTACCTGACACTATAACACCTCTCAATTCCGGGAGTACGTTGTCTTTCAGAAAACAAATTATTACTACAACAGTTCGTTTACTAATGTTCTTTTCGCGCTTTGCCGTGAATTTAATATGTTTATGACTTTGCTAATTGGTTTGTGATTTAAATATTTCTTCAGTCAGTATTACTACAAACAAAAGTAATTATCTAATTATGTTCATACATATATCTACCACTGTACATACATGAGAATGAAATTCTTGCTACTAATTGTCAAATGAGAACTTAATGATCATCCGCCTATTCTATGCACAATTCAATACTACATGAGAAGTTAGAGACGATTCAGTTAGGCAGCATAAATAATGCATGAGAAAGTGTTCTGCTACAAGATTACATACTTATAGATGATACCCTAGGGGAAGTTGAGTAATCATTTTCAGTCAAGACATCTTAGATGCGAATTGCAGGTGCCTTTTCACTAGTTCAATAACAGGCATAAATCTTTACTTCATGACATGATGATCATTGTTACTGAAATAAAACTTTTTTCTCACTAATGGACTTTGTAATGAAAAAGACGAATAATAAACAAACCAGTACTTGAATATCGATGAGATACTCACTGGTGACTGGTCCTATTCAGGTAGGTAATTACCTTGGTTCTAGTTGAAAGTCGTAATCAGTAGGGTGCTGTAAGTCGGGTGTGAGGACAATAATTCGCCGAAGACATTGACCAGCGGTCGCGCTATGTCGTGAATTGGCAGGAGTTAAAATTCATGCATTGGCCATTGGATTGGGCATAAGTGGCTTAATGGTCTACAAGCTCGCCTTCAAACCAGAAAGTCGTCGGTTCGAACCCTAGTGGTGAGTGAGTACTGTTGAAGAGTCCCACACTAAGAGGATGAGACAGCTTTCCAGTACTCCCAGGTTCTGCAATGGTTCTTTAACCAATGTCAGGTCGTGATGAAATCTTGTAACCAGTCAATCGAATCCCTACAAATCGATACTTGAACATGATACTGTTCCAAAAACCTATTTAACGCCAGTTCCTATATTTAATTTTTGTTTCAATATTTTATGCTTACCAGAAGTATCTACTTTGATCTTTAGGTCATAAGTGAATTCAAACGTCTGTATCGACGCAAACAGTACTTACACAGTAATACAGAAAATCGACGTCAAAGTGCATGGATGAATAACACTCACGAAACGGGTAATGAACTTGGAGAACAGCATAATGAATACAAACCAATAGAGAAAGTATCCAGAGAACTATCAATAATTCCAAAAAGAAAAAGTAATTCATTCACCAGTCGTTTTGTTAAACTGATAGGATGTCGATCGAAAGATAAATTTCAAAGACCATCTGGTCCACGACGACCTTCACCACTTTGTCGGAGTGAATAAAACAACTTCAAAATATACCACTGGCATAATTACGATTCCGCATTTTTTTTTACTTTACGCTTCTATTGGAAATATTTTATGTGTATTTCCTTTCGACACTGTCAAGCGTTACACATGTGGATCATGTCGTTTTTGAATGCTAATTAAGCTGATAAAGAATGTTACAATTTACATTGCATTAGACAAAAAGAATTGACTTTCAAAAGATTTCAGTGTGCGCATTGCATAAACCATCTGAGCGGTGAGCATCGACTCGCCTTATAGTTATCGGAAGTCACTTACATAAATCAAACGACAGTGATTTATGAACAAACATGTTCTTATCAGTAAAGTCTCTTTTTGTTTTTGATTAACTGGACATTGTATAAATTTGATCCCTAAAATCACTTTCACATTTGATATTGTGAAACGATAATCCAGCAAAATCAAGAGTGTATTTATTTTTGAGTTAATAATAAAAACAAATAAAGTTATTTCTTTTTTATTTTTCATATGACCAAATCCTACACCACAACTGATTTAAGCAACAACCGACAAGACTTAAAAAACCTCTTGGAAATTTTCTGTAAACGACTCAACCCATGTAAAGTCTCTGAACCACTTCGCATTTGCAGAAATCATCCCCGACACTTTCATCCTTAAGTATGATAGAAGTTTAACCCAATTACAGGTATATTTAAGTTGATATTACTCATATGTTAAGTAATTACCAATCAAAGCCAACTAGACAATGAATGTAATGATGAAACGAGGAACACTGTTTCATTTTGGTTTATAGTTTAAATCAGGCGCGCCAAATTCGGGTATGATGGTAAAATTCAAACAGTCCTGCCATGTTTTGAGGATTTCATAAATTGAATTCAAGAAAAAAGTGTCTCTTACAATGACACTTGTTCGCCAATCTTCATAGACAAATACTTCCAGCATACAGATGAAGTCTCTCAGATATCACACATTTGAAAGCCTCACAAAAAGATTATTTATTTTTGATTACAGCTTGATTCCACACCGTATTTTTGGTACAAGTATGGAATTTTCAGCCAAGATATCCGTAGCCCAAATTTCGCAGGCCAACCATAGGTATCAGGTGTGCGTCGGCAGGGGATCGAACCTCGGACTATGTGCATGGTCAGCGAGGGTAGTAACTACTATGCCACCGACGCACTGAGAATGACATCAAACACTCAAGTATCCGAAATCAGAATGCCGATTACAAAATGTCCCATAAATGATAAACCACTTATTTGTGGTTTTAGTATTATAGACTTCCAGCAGAATTTCACTTGATTGGATTTTAAACTGTACAAAGTATTAAGAGGGTTTGTTCAATGAATTTCGGACAGTTGTATCCTTAGTTTCGCTCTAGATGTAACGAGTGGCGTAGGAGACCGACAACTATCAAATGAAAAGTGCTATGCAACCAATGATGTGTTTTGAATAAGTCACCCGCAAATATCTTCACTTGCTCCCACTCCAGTTACACTAGCTTACCGAGACAGAGAAAATGACATGTATGTGGGCTTCTTATGTCCGTAAGTCTGTGGATGATTATTTATCCTTCTGAACAGTTTCTACCACCTCCTACGAAAGATATCAAACGAAAACGTGTTGATCCTTATCTTTTTCATATATTTTACCTGAATAAAACCCATCGATATTTATAGTAATTTGAACACATAAAACTAGCCGGAATACAGTGGAATGTCTTGTTATAAGAATTTCACAAGGCGTTTTAAAAATCTAGATAAGCATGAAACACTTATAAAAATTCCACCAGATGAAGTTTCTGGTGCAGCTACATTTACCACAGATTAGTATATGCATAAAGTGAAGACAGTTTCAGATAATTTATCCTGATTTACATCTTAAAAGTATAATATAGATATAAGTTTGAACAACAGCTGATAACGGGAAAGTTCCGGGTACTTTTGAAACACAGGAAGATGGAACCTCTAGCCTAAAGCTTACTATGATAAGTGAAGCTTCAATTTGATGATATGCTGGATTTACACAAGTAGCATGATTAAATGTTTCAAACAGACCTATTAAGCCTTCCCTTCATAAAGTGTGTCTTCAGTCAGCTATGGATATGAAATAATTTGTCGAACCTATGTGAATGCATAAATGGAAATAATCCTCCACATTCTCTATAAATTGACAAAAGTATTGATGAAGTTCCCTTAAGAAAAAACCAAAGACGGCGTCTATTATTTTTTCATGTTTTTTAATTTATCGGGAAAACAGTCAAAACACACTAAACTAGTGTTCACCAAGAACATATGAGTGATATTGTAGAAAGTATATGTCTTAGACAGTAACTTGTACTGAAACCTTCTTGAGATATTACTGTACAGTTCAGGTGAAAAATAAAAAACGCATCTGACTACGAAATCTCATTTATTAAGTAGTCAAAGTAGAAGTCCTTTTCCATAACCACATTCATTCTTAACGTTTCTGAAATTCTGGTAATATCTGGTAGACTACACCTAATTTAACAATGAATTCCATTTCATAATTAAACTGTAATTTAATAAATGTGTTTTAGAAATAGACTGTGGGTTTGTTTTGGTTAGTGGTGAGAAAGAGTGAAATCCAAAGCAAGCAATTCCTCCTGTTTGTCACTCGTTAACTGGATGTCCCTACGGGTCCAATGGGTGACAGTCTTCCTTAATAATAAAGTACTTCTAATATTAGCTTTGTTTCAAACAGTAATTTTGAAACAAAATATACTTAATGCCTCTATGCCTCTGAGAAAGATTGTGACATATATCACTAACATTTTTCTCAAACTAAGCAGTTAACACCTTCCTACGTCGCTAGAACCGATAGTAAAAGGCTAGATGGATAATACAAGTTTTTAATGTATCTATCCACATCACTTTTCCGACGCGATCCTATGTTTACTTACGTTGCTCTATCTGGAATTCGGTGGCTTGGCATGAGCGGCAAGTGCTTAGCTATCTCAATCAATGTAGCTTTATACTCTCACTGATTGTTTTGTCCTCCTCAAAACACACTAGGCTTCTTGCCTAATTCACCATATTTTACCACTTAACACGTGATATAGAATGCAAGCGTCTCCATTAACAAATAGCTAGCCTCTTTCCGTCTTCCACTCTCAATGACTATTTCTCACTGTCATAGAGGGAGATATAGGTAACTGCTGTGCGCAAACACTTCTTTTAATGGCAGTCAGGTATCACGTCTATATTAGAGATGATGTAAACTGAAAAATACAGTATCAGACTTTTGCATCCGTTTTGATATTTCGTCAGTAATCAGTGAAATGGTAGACATACCATAATACTTCAGTCTATTCCTAAATTGAGATGTAGTGTGGACCAGTCTTCCAACATAATCTAACACTTGACAGGAACGAATGACTTGCCAAACATATTGAGATTTGCGCTCAAGATATCCAGAAGACCGTATTTTGTCAGTGACTTCACCTGGATAAAAAAATTATCTGATTGCTCTATAATGACAGGATTTTTCCTCAGTCATTTTCTAAGTTGCTTATATGGACTGAGGTCACATAGATTAGTGTGTGATGAAAGTGAAGAAGGATCAAGGTTATGGACATTCCTGAATAACACCGCTGGGTGTCGTGAATTTGGATGGTTAATCTCCATAGGCTCGTTAACAGTTGCGTGACTTTGAGTAGAAAGAGTTGATTAATGTGATATTTATTCTAGGTTTTCTTTTTACTGCCATAAATTGCTATCATAACTCTCAATCGATGGGGTCAAATTTCGCATTGTGTGAGGAAATATGGCAAGTTTTGGATGCCAGTAAGTATTTTATTGCTTGGGAGTGTATCAAAAGGTGGATATATGATTGCTAACTTCTTCTTGTCGCCACGTATGGACCATGCTAGTTTCGGTCATCTTGCATCTATGGGTTAGGATAAAACAGCGGAAATATCCTGTTACTTCCTAACCAATGGTTTCAGGTTACTAACAGCTAGATGGACTACCTGTCAAGCTTCTTCAGAATAGTTTTTGTTTTAAATCTCAGGTACAAGTTATTAGGGGTGTTCTGTGATTGAAACTTCATCCACCTGATCAATATGCGTCACTGTATTTTATATCATATAAACTTTTCTAATGTGGAATTATGTTTTATCAGAGTGCCTATATTCTACTGTTAAAAAGCTTGAGCCTACTCGATAAAAGCAAGGTGTGTGCACCGTGAAAGATTCATTTCATTTAGCAAAAGCCTGAATCACATGAACGCTTCCCACAAGTTCATAGGTTTTATTTGATGCAGCCTTCTCGATTACAAGGATCCCTGGTCTTTTTTTCTCTATCGGAATTCCACTTTGATTACACTCATTACTGTCAAAATTAATGGTGTAGCTATGGGCAGCCTACTTGGCCTTGTTTTATTGTACATTTTCATGAATACGTCATTAGCCAGAGGAGCTGCCAAGTTGTTTCCTGATTATGGGACAATGTGCTCTTTGGTGCAATTGAAGCCGACAGATACCTTTATCATGTCAACTCTAACTGTTTATGAAAATTTGCCTATATCTTGGGCAGCAGCTACAGTGGCAGAGCAGAAAGAAAGGTACACCACCGAAAGTTTTAACAAAAACCAAAAGATTACCTCTCAGTGGAACAGTTAATTACTTTAATGACATTGCCAGACATCTCATCAATACGGGTCATGAATTTGACAGTGCGAAGTTCTTGAAAGTTATCAATAGACAGCATTGTTCAGTTCTCTTCAAGTTTGCCGAAACAGTTGCTACCAGATCCTTGAAACCCAATTTCTGTGTTCAGAAAGAAGCAGCTGTTAATCTTTCCTCTCCATAGTAACTAAATGTCATTACTCTATCTTAATGTGATTACACAATCTTTGGCTTCAATCCCTCTCTTCTTTTATATAGTGTAGCTTTGCTGGTCTCTTGGGTTGACCTGAGTATATTGTTAAGCAATTTATTAGTTACTCATTATCTTGTTCACATCTCATCTTTATTACGCAACTCCTTTACCATTGCTTGCATGAGTTTAATTTTGTTTAAAATTGAAATTTCTAGGTAAAACTATATAAGTATACTTTTCAGACCACTGTTTGTTAAGTTTGGAGCAGCCTGTAACACTGGCAAGTACGTAAACATTGTTCCAAATATTAACTGAATAATTTCTTCAAGCTTTATGCAGCTGATGAGAAGTCATCAGAATAAATGATTTACAACCTTATTCTACAAAAACCAATGTTTTTGCTTTACTCAAAACCATAAAAGGTAATAAATGCATGCAGAATATAATGAAGACAGAGTTCATGAAAATATTTGACCAATAATAACAAACAAAAATCTGTAGCAACGGATTATTCTGAAGGAAGTCATTTTTTACTTACCTGAGCAGTATCGTACTGATTACAGGCAACATAGTTGAGGGCTGCATAGGCAATGGGAGTGGTAAAAGCAAGACAAGCGTTCATTAGTCTGAAATCAC